TCTGCAGTGGGCCCAACAGCCTCCTCCAGTGTCTACTGTCCAGAAGTTCTGGAGGCCAAATGAGGTCCAAGGCCTTGCCAAGTCAAGTGTGTTAGGCAAGAGGCCATGTTGTGCTCATTCATACCCATGGTCACATTTGCCGGGTGTCCCCCACCCTCGGTCTGGTCTTCTCATCTCCCTGGGGCAGGGCAGGCCCAGAAATTTCCCTGCCCCACTTCCCCCGACAGGCAGAGGTGTTAGGATTCAGGCCTGAGCCCTTGCTATTGCCCCCCTAGCCCCCACCAAAGGAGGTGAGCAAAGAGCTTAGGTGTCCCTGCTCAGGCCCACCCCCAGGTGGAGTTAACCCTTTGAAGGGAAGGGGGTTGGGGTGAGGATAGGTTCCAGCTGCTCCACTCTGTAGCTGGCAGTTTCTTCAAGGGCTGCAGGTGCCAGCTGGCTGAGCCCAGGCCAGACTGTGAAATTTGCCTACTCAGACCTCCCATGGGGTGTGGGAGGCCCAGGAACCTCCCTCAGAGTTGCCAAAAGTGGTCATGGTGTTAGGGACAATATGGCTGGGCTGGGGGTGGGGCAGCCCTCCAAGACCCTGCTTCCCAAAGAACAGCCTCTGTCGCCCCTCCGGTACCTCCCCCATCTCCAAGCCCTGCCCCCAGCCCCCTTTGCGGAGGGCGTCAGTGAAGCTGCAGATGTTTCTGGTAAGGAGGCCACCACAAGACTGCACCTGTGGCTTCCAACTCTCTACTCCACAGGCTGCCCTACCCCTTCTCCAACAGCCTGGTCCCCGACACTCCATTAGCAGTCCACGATGCGCCCCATCTTTCGCCTGCCTTGGCCTCCTTCCCCTCCTCCAGTCTGGAGACAGAATACAGGCAGCAAAAATAGCTCTCTGCCAAGAAGCAGGATTCTTCTGGAAATCCCCATGGTCCATGGGTATAGGCCTATGATGGAGCAGACAACTTAACTTCAGTTTCTTCTTCTGTAAAACAATACCTACCGTAGGAATAGTAATACCTACCAAAAAGTCTGGCCTGTGCTAATGTACATGAAAGTGCTTTGAAAATGGAAAATCACTCCGTACATATGAGGGATCGTGGTAGTGTGAAGTCTCAGAAGCCCCAAATGTGATTGTTGGCCTCATACCCCTCTGTCACCATGGGAGAAGACTTCTCTTAGCCATCATCCTGGCCTTTGCTTTTTCTTCTTCTTCTTCTTCAATTTATTTGTTTATTTTTAAGTAATCTCTACCCCCCAACTTAGGCTCAAACTCATGACCCTAAGATCAAGAGTTGCAGGTTCTTCCAACTGAGCCATCCAGGTGCTCCCATCTTGGCCTTTCTCAATGCAGAGGAGAGGCAGTGGGATGAGGGGGACAATCCAGGGATGGGGCCCCAGTAGGTAAGTTGGAATCCCAGTTCCAGCAATTACAGTTAATAGCTCTGTGACTGTTAACAATTTTCTTAAACTCTTTGAGCCTAGTTTCCACATCTGTATGACCTAGAGAATAATAATTATACCCTATCATGGCTGTGGGGCTTAAATAAAATATATCGCCATATCAAGCACATGGCGGTCCTAAGTGTTCAACATAAACTTCCTCTCTCTTTCTGTTATCGTTTCTCGTGGAAACCAGAGGGAGAGCCAGGTTCTTGGGGCCTGTTGACTCCTGAGGATCTATCATCACGGGCTGACAAGGTCACAGACCCAAGAGCTGGATGGCATCCCACCGTCCATTGGGTCCATGGCTTGCAAATTGGTGGCCCTAAGCTAGATCCAGTCCTTGGAATGCCTTGTTTGACTTACTCAGGGTTAGAACAACAACAGAAAATTTGTCACCAACATTAGAGTTAGGGGATATTATAGAAATGTTTGTTTTTTCCACCTTCCCTTGACATTTTGGTAGAGCGGCTAGTCTGGGTTCACCTATTCTGGTGCAACCTCTCCTATCAGCTGGAGCTGTGTGGTCCATGGCTGCTCTCATTAGATGAGGCCAGTAGCCCCCTCCCTGCCCCCTGCCAACTTCCTTCGGTCCCCACCCCTCCCTACTGTTTACAGTCAACCTGCTTTCTCACTTGTATTACCTAGCAGGTTCCTGTAGGCGTTTGATTTTGTGATCCTTGCTTTCCAGTAATTCACTCAAAAATGAATCAACAGGCAGGGGCGAGGGGAGGAGGATGGGCAGTCAGTGTTAAAGGGTCCAGAGCTTCAGTTGGGGAAGATGAGAAAGTTCTGGAGACAGATGTATAATAATAACATGAGTGTACTTAATGCTACAGAGCTGTAGGCTTCAGTGTGGTTAACAGGGTAAGTTTTCCGGTGTTCGTCTTTTACCACAACACATTTAACATCCATAAATATCAATACGATTCAATATTTTTAACAAAGGATTCAATAAGTATGAAGGGTCTACCAGGCCCAAGGCATTCTGCTGGGTGCTAAGTCAGACAGACTTACCACTCGAGCCTGCCAGACAGACTCTAAGCAGTAATTTCATAATGATTATGTTTGGACAAGTGCTTGCAAAGGCGAAGAAGCACGGGGGCCTGGGAGGTCTTCCCTTATTAAGGGAAACGAGGGGTCACGTACCGAGGATGGCGAAGCAACAAGATCCAGACACACAAATCCTGCTGCAGGGTACAGCGGGGTGCCCCCTCACCTCCCTTACCCCTGAAGCACCTGCCTCCAGACCTCTTTGAGAAATCACCTTTAGCCTAAGTATTCAACAGCCAGGGGCTGTTGACTTTATGTTGACTGTTCCTCCACTTGCAGCAGAGCACACGCTCTCTGATACGCACTTCCCAGGGAAGCCTGTCTTGATCTCCCAGTTGAAATAAGTTGATAAGATCCCAGGACTCTGAGCTTCTCTTTGGTAGCACTTGTCCAATTGTGATGGCATTATTAATGGTTTAGGGTCTATGACACAAGCCGGAGGGGTGACCGTGTCAGCCTTATCACATCCCCAGCACCCACAGAGTCCCTTGGGCCGGGAAGACACCTAACACTGGCTGAGTAGGGGCGCCTGGCTGGCTCAGTGGGTAGAGCATGTGACTCTTGATCTTGGGATCGTGGGTTCGAGCCCCACATTGGGTGGAGAGGTTACTTACAAACAAAATCTTGAGAAAAAAAAAAACAAACATGCAACTTGCTGAATATGTGAATGAGTGGGCAGAACTGGATTAGATCAGGGGTTAGAAGAATAAATGCCTATTAGGACCTCTGCCAGGTAATGTAAATGAGAAAAGCAGGCCCTACAGCAAACAAGCCTGTAGGAAGGGGATGAAGCCTGAGGAGGACACACACCCTCCCTGGAAAGACAGTCCTTAGAAGTTGCACCTAACACTTGCACTTACATCCATTGACCAAGATTGAGTCATTTAGCCAAATCCAGAGGCAAGGGAGGCCACGATTAAGCATCACTTAAATCTGGGCAGCCATGAGCTCAGCTAAGAAGGGAGGATTCCGTTACTAAGGAAGAAAGAGAAAACATTTGGGGGACAACTAAAGTCTGTGCCGAGACAGAGTGAAGAGCTAAAGAATGAACACAGGTTTCCAAGATTAGCAGTTCTCAAACCGTAGCCCATGGGGTCCCTGAGACCCTTGCAGGGAGATTTTGAGGTCAAGCTACTTTCATAAAAATAATAGGGCATTATTGGCTTTTGTCACTATGTTGACATTCCAATGATGTTGCAAAAGCAATCTGGGCTAGAACGCTGCCTTAGCACAAAACAAGGCAGCGGAGCCAAACCATGCTATAGTCATTGTGTTCTTCACCACCAGGCATTTGCAGAAAAAAAAAAAAAAAAAAGAATAAAAATATTGCTGCCAGTTTCACTTAAGAATGCCTCTGATGAGCAACAAATATTAATTTTATTGACTCTCAAACCTTCAGTACACCGTGTTATAAAATGAGATGTAGCACAATGCCTTTCTGCTGCAAATGAATCACAATGTTGTCTCAAGTTAGAAGCGCCTGCATTAATTGTTGGAGTTGCAAGCTCAACTAGCCACTTTTTTGTTAATAGGGAAAGGGTATGGTCACCTGTGCGTATTTACATGCTCACTCAGGCTGCTGTGAGGAGGGTGGCCTATAGGAAGACAGAATGGGGAGACCAGAAGGCTGGTGAGGAGGCAGGAGCTGTTGTCCAGGCACAGGGTGGTAACCTGGGGATGGGATGGTGGTAGCTGGGCAGAGTGACTTGGAGAGACTTCTGAGATAGTGTGAAGGTAACATCCACAGGAAATGGTAAATAAACACATGGGAGGGGGTGGGTGAAGGAGTCAGAGATTACACCCAGTCACCCAGTTTATTTGGCGTGAGCAGCTGATAGGTGGCAAAGCCCCTGCTGAGTGGGGGACTTGCAGGAAGTTGATCTGGAGGGTAGTGGGAAGCAGGCGATAAATGTAGCTTGGGATATGTTGGGTTTGCTATGTGGGGTGAGCATCCAAGTGGAGATGTCCAATGGATGGATGGATCTACACATCTGGAGCTCGAGAGAGACCTGGGTAGAGGAACACTTGAGGGCCTGCCAGAGACAAAGGTCCAGAGGAAAAGGGTCTGGTCCATGGTCACTCTGGGGGTCACTCTGCAGGTCTCAGGTACCCTCCTCTCAGCCCAGGCCCTCTCTGCCACACTGAACCACGTATCATGCCTCTGGTGCCACGCCACTGAACAAATGCCCTCAGGGCCCTAGAGTGAGAAGCTGTCTGGCGCTTTCCACAAATTACCTTCTGTGCCCTCCCTCCACTCCCTTCCTACTTCTTTCCCTGAAGCCCAAATCACATTACAACATCATGTGGGCTTTTTATTTTTTTGCAACGAGAAGTGCAGAGACACTATGTTCCAGCCTCAGTCTGCTTAACTTTTCCCCTTGACTTTGGCATTTTTACTTTGACATCTTCCCTGAGAGGCAGGGGGTGGGGACCCCAGCCCAACATGGTGACGTTGAGGGCTGGCCCAGGTCTGGGGTGTGGAGGAACCTCACCACCAGGCTTCCTGTCTCTCCGTGTACATACGTCTCTGCAGAAGTCACAAGCGCTCTCCTGGGTGGGCTCCTGGTTGCGGAGCACCCAGCCTTCACATAGACACACCTGTGCGAGAAGCCGGAGGGGAAGAAAGACACAGGCCCAGGGGTAAGATGGACCGACTCAGCTCCATGCCTTTCCGTGGGTCTGGGAAGGGGAGGGGGAACGTGGCAGCAGATGTGCTGGAAAGTTCTGGACTCCCAGTCCTCTGTCCACAACTCAGGCCACCTTCTCTTGTGTTCCACACTGGAACTGGGAGCTTCAAGAGGCCGGGGTGATGGTAAACTTCAATCTGCATCCCACTCTGTGCAGCTCAGGGCCTGGCGCAGAAGGGGCTCCTCAGAGGGGTGCTGAGCTGGATTGCGAGATCAGAGACGACATGGAGACCCGAGGCCACACTGGGCTGAGAAAGGCCATGGGAGGCAACAAGTCAAGGGGGCACTGGAAGAGATGAAGATGGGGAGAGAGGAAAGAGAGAGAAAAGAGGGAAGAAGGGGTGGGAAAGGAATAGCAAGAGTAAATACATGTTAAGGAGGAAGGATGCCTATAAAAAAAAAAAAAAACGGAAATGAAAAGAGGCAACAAAGGAAAAACAAGAAAATGAGAGAAGTGGAATCCGGTCTAGAGGCAATTCGCCTGAAATCAATTTTCCCAAAGATGCAACCTCCCCACGTTCGCACCAGAAACCGTTGCAGCATTTCATAAGCCCTGTGACTGAGGTAGCCTCCTTTAACTATCTTTTCTGTCTATCGGTATTTCTACATTTTTGTCTACTTTGGGGCATTTTTAAAGGACTTTTGAACAATATGTCCATTTCCATGAGCTTTAAAAGGATTAGCAAAATTCTCAAAAAGGGTTGAAACCGAGCTCGTAGGTATGCAGTGCTATAAAAGTGATAGATACATATTCTTAGGTAAGTACGTCATTAGAAAAACTGGTTCTAAGAGATTAGTTTTAGATGTCTCCTTTGCTCTAAAAAAGGAGGCTATGGGGTTTAGAAAAGGATTTGCAGGCGCTGAGCTTGGTAGGGTGTTGGGGGGGATGCAGGAGGGGGTACTCCTCAAGATGCTATGCCCTGTGCAACTCCCCCCTCCCACCGGCACTCTCTCTGTCCTTTTCCCTCTCCTAAGACCTCCATGGCCTTGCAGCACTGTCCCCCAGGTGTCTTCTGCCTTCTCTTCTAGACTTAGGCTGGGAGAGGGACCTCCTCCGTACAGTCAGATTCCTCCAAATAGAAAGGCCTTACTATTGCTAATTCAAAAGATTTCCCTCTGGGTGGGCTAGCTCTTCCTGAATGTCCCTAAATGTTCAGGGGTGCAAGGCTGAGAGTAAAACCTGATGGGGGAGATCACTCCATTTCATATTTTGACAAAATAATTTCTCGTGCTGTGTTCGATTCTGTGGGCTCATACAAAATGGCCGCCCTCTTAACCTCAGATGAAGGGTTCCCAGAGGACAGGGTCAGAGAGAACTCCTGACATAATTTCCTTCTTTCAGTTTGGGGGAGGGGCACTTATATAGAAGAGGTCTACGTCAAAATAAAAACTCCCCCATCACCAAGTGGTTCTAGGCAGAAGCCTTGTAACATCTTACGCCCCGATCCTGGCCATAATGGTAAGGTGGCAATGAGGGGGGCTCAGTAGACCAAGGGCCTTGCACATTTTGGACACTCAATAAATGTTGAATGAACTAACTTTGAAGGGGGTGGGTGCTGGGAGGGGGCAGACAGGGGCCTGGGTTTGTAGGGCTCTAAGGCCGAGCTCCGTTCCACACATTTTGGAGGAGATAGGAGAAGGAGGGAGGGCACGGCTCCCCCCACGTGGGCATCTGAGGCAAAGAAGAGGATGGCGGAGGTTGCAACCACTCAACCACAAGGGTCCCCTAGAGGGTCATGGTCTCTAGGAAGTTTATATGAAGCCAATGAGCAGGAGAGAGGTGTATGCAGTGGGGGGGCACATCCCCCGGTGGTGGGGCTTGAGGGGCTGGCTGGGGGCTCTGGGGGGAAGATGAAAGTGTCTGTGAGACCACAGACTGTTGCTGTGGTGGGGCTGTGCCCTCTTCCTCTCCCCAGTCTCTCTCCTCATCCCATCTGGGGGGCCAGGGCAAGGGCAACAGGAACCTCAAGGGCTCTGAGAGTTTGCGAGTGTGTGTGTTGCCATTTTGGTTCATGGTTCTCTTAGTCTCTTTTGATCTTTTTTGGTCTACTGCTCTGGGCATGTGTCTTGCCTTCTACAATGTCTTCATTTCTTTCCCTCCAACTCGATCTGGTTTGTAGAGCCTTGGACCTGGTGTGGGATTGGGCATTGTGTGGAGTGTAGCTAGCTGCTGCTTGAATGAGCTGCTCTGGGTCTCTCCCTACCTCCTTCTTTCCCTCTCATCCTCAGTCATCCTCCCCTAGGACCTCTGCATTTCTTAGAATCTCTCCCTTTCCCTTCGTCCACCCTACAGCCATCCCCCTTGCCTCCACCTTCGGCTCCAGGCTGTGCTCTGCAGGCTCCCTTCACATCAAAGCTTGTTGAAAGCTGCTTTCCTGCCAGAGGCCTGGATGCCTGTTTATAGGCACAAAGGGGCTAGAGCTTAGTGGCCCCTGGAGGCGGAGATGAAAAAGGAGAGGCAAGGGGCACTGTAGGCAAGACCAACAGAGCCAGAATTGGTTCCTGGCATATGAGGCCGAGAGGAAGAGAGATACAGATGCGGGGAGTTGAAGACAGGAGGCATCAGTGTGGACAGGCACAGAGACAGAAGTGCACAGATGTGAGCGGAGAAATAAGAAGAGAGAGAAAGAGGGAGAGGGAAAGAGAGATGCCAGGACCTGGGGGACCAGCAAGCCCTCCCAGCCTCTCTCAAGTGGCTCTGGTGTACAGGATGCTACTGTACTGGGGCAGAGCGCCTCTGGGGAGGATGAGGAAGTGGGAATCAAAAGCCAGCTCTCTGGGGCGGCAGCGGAAGCCCAAGTTACCAAAGCAAGCAGCAGCTGGAAACCCATAGCCTCCTCCACCGAGCTGAACCCTGGTTGAGTTGGCACAGTATAAGGAGCTGGAGGCGGGGAGGTGGCCCTCTGCACAGACCCTAGGATCCTGGTGTGGGAAAGAGATGACCACCATTTGGGGAAGGGTCAAAAGGTCCCTAGCCTTCCCGAGGCATCTACACTGAATTTAGACCCCAGGGAAGGGATATCCCAGAGACTCCTATACTCTCTTCTCACGAAGGACAGTGAGTCTGGGACTGGGGGACAGTGGGAACCACTCTTAAATATACTGCACTGTCTCCCCGCAGCCTTCCCCTCAGCACCCCCGTGCCCCATGCTCACTTGTAAACAACTGCACCCATGACTAGCCTCTTTTCTCCTTTTCTGGAAACCTTCTTGATCTCTTCACTTCCTATTTCCCTGGTTACAAAAAAAAAAAAAAAATTCGATCAGGGGTGCCAGTCTGGTTCAGTCAGAAGAGCATGCAAATCTGGATCTCGGGGTCACGGGTTCAAGCCCCAAGTTGGGTTTAGAGGTTACTGAAAAAATAAATAACCTTAAAAAAAAATTCTATCAAGCCCCTACCTTGTGTTAGGCCCTGGGAAATTCCTCTTTCGGGCAGATGGAGTGACTGGAGAAGGATTTTTCTTTTTTCTATCTTCCCTGAAACCTCATTAGGAGGCCCAGGACCCCAGAACCCATCTGAGTACTTCATCCCTCTCATGGGTCAGTGCCCAACAGGAAACAGAATCTGCCTCAGATGGTTCAGAGACTGCAGGAAGGGGGTTATTTACAGAGGTGTGAAGGGGGAACCAGCCAGCACGTGGAGGCACACAGGCATCAGCAGTAGCAGGCAGGGTCCTGGAGGGGCAAGAATGAAATGATGTTTCTGGAACCCAGTGAGGGTGTGAGCTGTGGATAAAGGGCCACGTGACAGGAGCTATAGCTGAGGCATGGGGAGAGGAAGGGGGAGGGAGGGAGAATAGCCATTGCCAGAAAGTATGCCACAGTAGGAACAGAGTAGGAAAAATACCCCAACCTTTTTCCTTGACCCTCCCATCTCTTGTGGGTTCTTCCCACTAGCCAACCCCAACTAGTAGCAGGAAGACAAGGGAGCCTGGGCAGTAGAGTCTGCAGAGGTCAGCCTCCTTGTAGAGGGCAGGGCAGAGAGGATGGAGAGTGGCTCAGGGGTGGGGGGGGGGGGGGGGGGGGGGGCGCACAAGAACAGGTAGCACGGGTTGGATGATTTGGCTTCATCCAGGCCAGGGTTGGGTGTGTACACGCCCTTAAATGACCCACTTTAGTAACAGAATTAATATGTTGAGTACAGAAAGAAGAAATCAATGATTTTCCCTCCTCCATGCAATTCAAGTTAGTTTAAGTTAACCAAACACATCCCAAGTCCCGCCCCAAGTCCGGGGGCTGGCTGGACTATCATCTGGAAGAGATCAAGCGTCGAGGGGGAGAGATGGGAACCCGAATCAGGGCATCATGAGGTGGAAGAGGGAACGTGCCCTCGAGGGTGTCACCTGGGTGCTGTGGGAGTTCAGACTGGGCAGCTAGCTGCAGCACTCATACAGCAAAGGCTGGACGACGGGGAGAGAAAAACACATCTGGGTGCGGGATCTCATCTTGCCAAGCTCTGGACCAGGTTCGCGCTGACACTGCTCCCAAAGCAGCCACCTTTCTGAGGCCCACTTACAGTCTGGAGGGGGAGCTCAAAGATACGAGCCCTGTTCCTGCCCACCTTCCAGATATCATCTTCCCCCAGTCTCCACTCCCTCCATGTCATCTGGTCCCCTTCCTAAAGCTCCACATAGACCATGTCACGTCTCTGCTCAAAAGTCAGCCGTTCCTCCCAATCACCTGCAGAACCAAGCCCTGACCTTCTAGCCTACCTGTCAGGATTCTCGATCAGGCCTCCAAGCCCTTCCCTCATCCCACCACCTCGCTTCCTGAGCCCCCTCTAGACCCCCAGCCCAGAGCACAACCCTGCAGCCTGCCCCCCTGCCTGCCCCCCTGCTGCCAGGTGGGGTGCCCCTCCCCTTTCCTTTCCATCTAACTCATGGTTTGCAAACTTTAGCCTGTGCCAGTCACCCAGGGGTTTGTGAAAACACAGCCGACTAGACCCACCCCCAGTTTCTGACCCAGCAGGTCTGGGGTGGGGCCTGAGAATTTGCATTTCTAACAAGTTGGTAGGTGACCCTGGCACCGGCTGATAGGGACCAAACTTTGAGAGTCGTTGCTGTAACCTAGGGCTGCCTATTGTTCAGAGTCCATTCAGAGCCTGTCTACACCCCTCCCGCCTCCCTTCCCCTGGTCTTAACCATCTCAGGGGCTCCCAGAAACCAACGCTGAAATATCATTTTTCTGCTTTCTCTCGGAGGCCTTACAGGGTTGGTCTGACAGTGAGCAGGGAGATATCCTCTGCTTCCTCTCTCCCTCACCCTGCACACTGCACCTGGCTCCAAGTTCTGAGAATTTTCCCTCAGATGTGCTCCTCAAGGCAATCTTTTTTTTCCACATATCCATAGTTCTCAGTTGTCCGAGTTTAGGCCTGTCTTCTCTCACCGGGATTGTTGCAATCCTGCCTCCTGGGCTCAGCCTCCTCCAACTTGTCTTTCTTAGAGGAGCTGAGAAATTGCAAATTGAAACAATCTGCAAATTGAATCATCCTTTATTATTTCTTTAATAACAACTTAAAATTTTTTTTAATGTTTATTTTTTTGAGAGAGAAAGAGAGAGAGAGAGACAGAGCATGAGCAGGGAAGGACAGAGAGAGAGGGAGACACAGATTCTGAAGCAGGCTCCAGGCTCTGAGCTGTCAGCACAGAGCCCGATGCGGGGCCCTGAGATCATGACCTGAGCCTAAGCTAGCCACTTAACTGAGCCACCAACATGCCCCAACAACTTTTCTTTCTTTCTTTTTTTTTTTTTTATGTTTATTTATTTTTGAGAGACAGAGAGACAGAGCATGAGTGGGGAAGGGGCAGAGAGGGAGTCACAGAATCCGAAGCAGGCTCCAAGCTCTGAGCTGTCAGCACAGAGCCCGATGTGGGGCTGGAACCCACAAGCTGTGAGATCATGCCCTGAGCCGAAGTTGGATGCTTAACCAACGGAGCCACCCAGATGCCCCGAATCATGTCCTTCTTGACATAAAATCCTTTACTGGCTCCCTAGTCCCCAGGGTCACGGCCCAGCATCCCAGCATGGTGTTCAAGGACCTTCATGACCTGGCCTGGTCCCCCCTGTCTCCACCCCCATCAACTTGCCACCTTCTCTGTGAATTCTTTCCTGATTCCACTTGGCAGAGAACTCACCCCCAGCCTGGGCACAGCATCGTGTGGCGTGTACTGGTGGCCGTCTGTTTACAAGTATGGGCATCTAGGTCCCTGGCTCGGCTGTATGGGTGCATATCACCCATACAAGTGCATATCACCCCTGTGTGCCTCAGGCCCAACAAATGCCTGTTGACTGATAATTATTATCTCCCTCAGGCCCTGCCCTTTGTGCACGAAAGCCGGGGACCTTGCCTGCCTCAGCAAGACCACAATGAATCAAGGAGCCGCTTTTAGGCACCTGCTCCTGGTGCTGCAGTTGGGTGAGTGCTCAGACTTGGGGTCCCAGAGCGGGGAGGGGCTGATTGGGAAATGCAAAGGTGGGGGGATGGGGTGAAGGATGGGCAGTAACAGTCTTGAGGCCTGACTTCCCCCTTTTCTGTCTAGTGATGCTCGAAGCAGCTGTCCCTCAGGGAAAGGAAGTGGTGCTGGGGAAGGCAGGAGGCACGGCAGAGCTGCCCTGCCAAGCATCCCAGAAGAAGTACATGACCTTCACCTGGAAACTTTCTTCCCAGGTCAAGATTGTGGAAAGTCAGAACCCCATCTTTTGCCTTACAGGTAGGATGGCCCAGCTCCTCATCGGGTGAGAAAAACACTATGGCCTGAACATTCCTGGTGTCAGAGCCCTGCTCCTAGTAAACTCTGATCCCAGGGGGTTGGGGTTGACAGAGACTCAGGGACTCTCTCTCAGTCCAGAGCTTCCCTGGGCCAACTGCAGGTGGCCGAGGGAATGGCTTTTGGTGGTCTGTTATCGTTTCAGGATTTTAATATGAACAGACTTATTTTAACGGATGTCAGAAAAATAACCTTGAATTTCATGGATATTATTGTTACAGACCCATGATGATGTGTTGTTTACTTCCATTAAAAGCAACAGAAGCGGGGCGCCTGGGTGGCTCGGTCGGTTAAGCGTCCGACTTCGGCTCAGATCATGATCTCACGGTCTGTGAGTTCGAGCCCCGCGTCAGGCTCTGTGCTGACAGCTCAGAGCCTGGAGCCTGTTTCAGATTCTGTGTCTCCCTCTCTCTCTACCCCTCCCCTGTTCATGCTCTGTCTCTCTCTGTCTCAAAAATAAATAAACGTTAAAAAAAAAATTAAAAAAAAAAAGCAACAGAAGGATTTTTTTTTTTACCTTTTAAAGTAAAAGGAATTAAGATCTCAATACTTTTTAAGAAGTATTTTGCAACTGTTTTGCAATAAAGGAGTTTTACAGTCACATTAAGGTTTGCCCTCCTGTACTCTTCTTTAAATAACTCTTCTTTTCTTGTATGTTTGGCCTCTAAATTCAACATGTTTGAAGAGAAGCATCATATGAGAAAAACCTCACCGGCATGGAATGTATTTTTATAAATATACATATTTTTCTTTTTTGGGGGGAGGGAGGGGGGAGGTAAAGACAGAGGGAGAGAGAGAGAATCCCAAGCAGGCTCCACATTGTCAGCACAGAACCCAATGCAGGGCTTGAACCCACAAACCGTGAGATCATGACCTGAGTCAAAACCAAGAGTCAGACACTTAACCAACTGAGCCACTCAGGCACCCCTGTAAATATATATATTTTTTATTTTAAAGTTTATTAGATTTATCACTGCTTGTATTTCATTGCTTATTTTTATGATTTTTACGTTTTTATAGAGATTTTATTTTGTTTTTTTTTTTTTTAATTTTTTTTTCAACATTTATTTATTTCTTTTGGGACAGAGAGAGACAGAGCATGAACGGGGGAGGGGCAGAGAGAGAGGGAGACACAGAATGGGAAACAGGCTCCAGGCTCTGAGCCATCAGCCCAGAGCCTGACGTGGGGCTCGAACTCACGGACCTCGAGATCGTGACCTGACTGAAGTCGGACGCTTAACCGACTGCGCCACCCAGGCGCCCCTAGAGATTTTATTTTGAAGTAATCTCTACACCCAGTGTGGGGCTCAAACTCACAACCCCAAGTCAAGAGTTGCATGCCCCACTGACTGAGCCAGCTAGGTGACCCTTTTTGCTTATTTTGAGCATCTTTTTAATTATGAAAATTTTAGCATCTATAAAAGTAGAATAATTATATAATGAACCCCCACATAGCACACTCAGCTTCAACAATGATCAATTCATGGTCAATTAATGGTTCATCTACACCCCCAATGCCCCACCACGTTATTTTATAGCTAACACCAAACATGGTGTCATTTAATCTGTAAATACTTCAGTATGTATCTCTAAAATGTAATGATTCTTTTTTTACATTTTTTTAAACGTTCATTTTAGTTGAGAGAGAGAGAGAGAGAGAGAGAGAGAGAGAGAGAGCATGAGCAGGGGAGAGGCAGAGAGAGAGGGACACACAGAATCTGAGGCAGGCTCCAGGCTCTGAGATGTCAGCACAGACGCCGAAGCAGGGTTTGAACTCATGAGCCGTGAGATCATGACCTGAGCCAAAGCTGGACCCTTAACCAACTGAGCCACCCAGGCGCCCCATAAAATGTAATGACTCTTTAAAAACATATCCACAGAAAAACCCCAAAAAACAATGAAAGAGCATAACCACAGTTTTATTTTAATTAAAATACACACATTACTTTTAATTAAAAATTTAAAATAATCCCTTAATGATGACAAATATCCAGTCTGTGATCAAATTTTCCCAATTACCTCATAATATTATTTTTACAGTTGGTTTATTTGAATCAGAATCCAGATGAAAATGTATGCATGGTGTTTGATTGATATGTCCCTCAAATCCTTTTGAATTTATATATTTACTCCCTCAGATTTTTTTGCCTCTTGCAACTCATTGGTTGAAGAAGCGAGGCAATTGTCCTGCGGAGTATTGCATGTTTGAATAGGGGGTGGCTACATTCCCATGGTGTTATTTAACACCATGTTCCTCTGTCCCTTGAATCTCCTATAGATTGATGATTAAATCTAGAGACTTGATCAAGTTCATATTTAATTTTTTGATAAGATCACCTCATAGGTAGTGTTTTGTACTACCAAGTTAATCACATCAGAAGCTATGTGATGTCTATCATTCTCTTTCTGTTATTAAGATTAATTAATCAATGGGCTCAAGGGTTAGCTTTAAGTGATAATTATAATAACGTTGTTTTTATTATTTTTAGTTTTTTTAAATAGTTGCCTTCTGGTTATATCAAATGGTATCGACTTTCTGTTTATTATAGTGATATAAACTTTTCTTTTAAAATAAATTTATGTAGGGGTGCCTGGGTGGCTCAATCAGTTGAGCGCCTTGACTTCGGTTCAGGTCATGATCTCACAGTTCTTGGGTTTGAGCCCTGAGTCGGGCTCTGTGCTGACAGCTCCGAGCCTGGAGCCAGCTTCGGATTCTGTGTCTCCCTCTCTCTCTGCCCTTCCCCTGCTCACGCTCTGTCTCTCTGAAAAATAAACATTAAAAAATTAAAAAAATAAAGTAAAATAATAAAATAAATTTATTTAGGGGTGCCTGGGTGGTCCAGTCAGTTAAGCATCCAGTTTCAGGTCAAGTCAGGATCTCACGGTTCATGAGTTCAAGCCCCATGTCCGGCTCTGTGCTGACAGCTCAGAGCCTGGAGCCTGCTTCGGATTCTGTGTCTCCCTCTCTCTCAGCCCCTCCCCGACTCACACCCTGTCTCTCTCAAAAATAAATAAACATTTAAAATTTTTAATAAGAAAATAAATAAAATAAATTCATTTAATCCAAAAAAGTGAATGCATTTAATGCATTTAAAGATGTTACATTAATAGGACAGGCAGATTTGGACAAAATCATGTGTAAGATATGTGAATGATTGAAGTCTGGGAAATATGGCTCCAGTCCAAGACTCTGATTTTGCTAGTGAGGGAACTGAGACCCAGGAAGAAGTCCCTGCCCCGAGTTTGTGCCCCATGAGAGGCAGAACTGGGGCTAGAGCTTTGGTCTTTCAACCTTCAGGCCTAGGCTCTCCTGTGGAAAGTTATCCTCAGTGCAAACTGAATTAGCCACAGTGCATAGAAAACCATCTTTGTTGAAAACAGATGTCTCCTCTTCCTGCCTCTCTGTCCAGTGGGAGGAAGTCCTCTATTTTTGCCAAGGAGATTCTTGCTGGGCTCCCAGAGTGACAGTTCAGACACCCATGTCCACTCTTCATGTTTGGACATGAGAAAAAGGGGAACATTGGGCTGGATCTTTAGTGACCCAAAGCCATTCCCTAAAATTAACAAAACCCCCAATTCCTGATCTCTTTCTGTTAAAGACACACCAAGCAGGTCAACTGCCCTTTGCCTGCCCATGTCCTCTCCCTCATGTCCCTGTTTAAAGAGAACTCTGTGATGAAACTAACCTGCGTCCTTCCCTGGCCTGTGGGATCCCGGTGCCCATTATGTAATTTTCATCCTTGGGCAGAGCTCAGAACAACTCCCACAAACCCAGCAAGTGATTTTCTTGTCCTAGAATCTATTCTGCTAAATTTCTTGAAATAAGCAGACTTTCAGCTGAGGCTGTATTTTTTATTTTTATTTTTTAAATATAATTTATTGTCAAATTGGTTTCCATATAACACCCAGTGATCATCCCAACAAGTGCCCTCCTCCACGCCCATCACCTGAGACTTTATTTATTTTTATTAATTTCAAAGTAAAATGATTCAAAAAAGTAATACAGATACATGGTAAACATTTAAAACCATCCAAATGATACACAATGTGTTAACAACAAAATTCAGCTGAGTACATTTGAAGATCTAATTGGCTTTATTCAATGATTCATAAGTTGGGCAGCATCCCATCCAGCAAATAGAAAGGAGCTCCAAAGAACTGTAGAAAGGAAAGGTCTTTAAAGGCAGAAAATGGGTTGGAAAAGAAAGCTTGTTAGCAAAGAGTGCATTGTTTCAGGCAGGATCACCTGCATAAGTGCATGGAACAGGTCTATCAGGCAGATTTCCTCACTAGTGCTGACCAGATAATTCCAGATTGACTCATTAAAGGTTATATTCCTGGGAGAAGCTGAATGTAATTAGGTTAGGTCTTAAGTCTTGGTTTGCTGATGTGGGGGTTAGCATAAGTGACTCCATTTTGGGCCTGTTGGCTCTTTTTTAACAGTTCCCCTCTTTTGATCACGACTGTTGGCTAAACTGAGAGATGTGATCAAAATCTAAGGCATTTGTGCCACTCCCAGCTACTACTCTGAAGTTCTTGAAGTTTCTGCTGATTCTTTGGTACTCACAGGTCATGACTTTTCTCCCAAATCTCCATGATACGCACAGGTTATAACTTCAGGTTCACTGACTTTTAAGTTTGTTGTTCCTTTTGTTACTTTCCTGATGTTCCAGTCCCAGGGAGATCATTTGTTTGGTGGTTAGCAGCTGCAAACATGTATTCCAAGCCTTTGAGAGGATACAGTGCACCAGGGAAACTTCTGTGATTATTGTAAGTAGGATAATTCCCAATGTTTGGAGTGTTCTTTGGAGTCATGATCCCTAAGACCCAAACCAATAAAAATCAAATAAGTCAAAGAAGGACCCCATTAAAGAATCAGCATTAAAAGACCCCATTAAAAGAGATCATTTAAAGCCAAGTGGCTTGCTCAATGATCTTGTGTG